TAACAAACCGTTAAAACAAATTCTTTTATAGATAACAGCAGAGTTGGTGATAGATAACGGATCAAAGAGAAAAATTAAACAATCAGTCAATCTTATTCATTAAAAATCGTTTTATATGTATTAATAAAATTCTCTTAGTAATAATTCTCGAGACCGCTATCTTTCAGTTTTCTTTCTGACTTCGATTAGCAGTGGATTGATCAAAACATAACGTTTTTAATTACAACGGTAAAAAAAAATATCTGACTCCAGTGAAAAGCAAACATCGTTTGGAGAAAAGAATTGCTTACTAAGGGAACATTTCAAAATTTTTGCCGTTCGGCCGGCCGCTGTGCCGTCCTGCCGCTCTCGTGCCGCTCTGCCGTTCTCGTGCCGCGGCATAACGAATTTATTTTAATTACATTTTGATATGTTATTTGTTTCTTTTGATGTAGGTATACGTATATATATACACCAAATATATTTTTCTATTTTAATTCAATATTTTTTATCTCAAGACTATTCGTTTTCTCCAAAAACAATGAATTTTTTAATTCGTGATAAGACTTTCGTCCAACTTTATTACGTTGAAAACGTGATAATGATATTTGTCTTATTCTTTCTTGAGACTTTTCTTTTGTTTTGAACATCAGTCGTCTGTAGGTCAGTACTTGAAAACTTGATGAAATGTATTATAGATGAATTAAGTTTATAGGGAATAGCTTGTGTCAAATTGAATATGTAGTTAAGCTGTAGTTCATGAGAAATAGTGAAATAAAATAGCATCCATTCATCTATCTTTCTCTTCTTTTTAGTGACTTTGCTAGCAGCTGCTAGCAAAGTAACTGAAAAGGAGAGAAAGATAGATGAATGGATGCTATTTTATTTCACTATTTCTCATGAACTACAGTTTAACTACATGTTCAATTTGACACAAGCTATTCCCTATAAACTTAATTCATCTATAATACTTTTCATCAAGTTTTCAAGTACTGACCTACAGACGGCTGATGTTCAAAGCAAAAGAAAAGTCTCAAGAAAGAATAAGACAAATATCATTATCACGAATTAAAAAATTCATTGTTTTTGGAGAAAACGAATAGTCTTGAGTTAAAAAATGTTGAATTAAAATAGAAAAATATATTTGGTGTATATATACGTATACCTACATCAAAAGAAACAAATAACATATCAAAATGTAATTAAAATAAATTCGTTATGCCGTGGCAGAGTGGCCGGCCGAACGGCAAAAATTTTGGAATGTTCCCTAAGTCATACAAATGATTATTTGTTTTATATAAGATATCGAAGCTTCGCAATGCATATTTCAAAATTGAACAAAACTCGAATACCATCTATTTAGCGTTAGCTGTTTGTCGCATCATAGGTCAGAAGGAAATTTTTCGAAATATCAAGTTGTATTCAACGAGTCAAATAGCAAGACTTACTTCAATCGTCTATTTCACACTTTTGATCGTAAAAATAAAATGTATTATCAAATTAAGAACTTTTATAGATTAACAATTAACTTGATCCAGATCATATTGTCAGTGGTGTAACTAGAGAATTGTAGGTGGTAGGGCAATACCCTACTATCATGAGGGAAACCCGTGGGATATAGCATCGACAATGATAAGTGTTACTTTTTTCTTTCTTCGAGTAGTAGGGCGGCACTGTTAAATGTAGTTATAACTTTAAAGATATAAGACAAGTATTTTCATTTGAATGTTGTATTATTGATACACTTTTGTTGATTGACTGTTTTTTATACTTGAAATAGGAGATTAGTAAGTGTTTATTCGTTACGACCAAATTCGTCAACAGTATAGAAAAGATAACACTTTCGTTTATGATTCAAAAACTAAGTCTTTCTTTCAACATCTATGTTCTGGAATTTCTATTGTTATTCTAGACTTCAGATCATGCAAGTCTTCGGTAATTGCTTTTAATCAATTTTTTCAAACATATTCAAAAACAATTGAGTCTTTAGTGTATTTCTTCACAGCAAGTCGTTCGTTATTCTTTGATAGATGTAATCATTTTGGAAACGAATGTATTTCATTATTTTACAATTTATTTTAGCTTTACAACAAATTCTATTATTTTTTTTTCGAAAAAATATATTGAAAGGTATTTGCAAAATTATGTTAGAAGGTTTAAATGATCTAGAGTTCATAATAATAATAAAAACTCAAATAGATATCGAAAAAATAACGGTGCATATTGTTGATCGCCTAAAAGCATCTAGTTTTTGAATTTTAACCGAAAGCGCTACTTTTTCTAAGTTGTTGATAAACTTGGTCTTTCTGAATAAAAAATTACTGGTCTTCTATTTCAAATATGAAAAATAAGTTTCTGATTAAGCGTGATCCGTATCAGAGTTACATCAAGGAAGAAAAAGCAACAGTTCCGTACATCAAGAGTTTGCCAATGCAATTCTCCAGAACTTTGTTGGCAAATAAACTTATATAAAATGAACTCAAATTAATATACGGGCGATGCACGTTGATAGTAAATATGAAATTGCTAAAAATTTCTAGAGAATGCTATTGACATATTCTTGAAGTACGGAACTTTTGCTTTCTCCACCGTAAATTATATCGTATCATGTGATGACTATGAGAATAAAGTAAATTACCACGAAAATAAATATAATCAGAATAAAAACCAGTATGTTTAGCAAGAAAACCTCCATTTTTGAGTGTAACAGGTCCAAGTGCATCTACAAACTTTGCTTGAATCTTTAAATTTAATGCACTTGTTAATAAAGGCAGTTGTTTACTATTCGTAGATTTATTATTTTTTAAATTAGTATTTTCAACTTTAATTAACTGAATAATAGATTTTTCGTCTTTAATAATTTTAACTGAAGATGGTAATGTAATTTCTAATTTAAGGTTTTTTAATTGCTCTATCCAATGAATAAGATCATTTTCTAAATAGTCATCAGCTGCATGAAATGAACGAAGATTAATATCTAAATCACGATATATTTTAAAAATCTTTCCTTTTGATTGCTTAACTATTTTTTGAGCAGTTTTTCGTGAAACTTCAGCAGCACGATGAATCTTTGCTAAAGATTCTTTTACCCATTGATCAATTTCTTTTAATAATGAGCTATCAATTGATATTTGTTTAATATCATATTGAATCAAAGCCTGTTCTTGTATAATACCATCTAATTGCCGAGCTAAATATTGTCGATGCCAAATAACATCTTTACCACAAAATCTTTGTTGACATCCGTCATATGTTAAAATACCAGCACTCGTGTTATATGTAACACATGGTTTTTTAGTATTTACACTAGCGCTCATATTCTTTGTTATATAGATTTGTTTTGAATGTTCTAACGTGAAAGTATTATAGTGAAGAATTTTTGATGTTTTCATTGGAATTTAATATAAGCAAATGAAAAATACGATTAAAACAAAGAAAGATTTGCAAACGTTTTTCTTTTCAATCAGTATAATAGAACTATAACCTAAGGTTTATGCTTGTATATGTTAAAAATGATGATTCATCGAATTATAACAGTGAATTCTTCAATTTAGATTCAGGACGAAAAATATGGTTATTTTTCGAGTAAAATTTTTTCAAATGATTAAAAAAACTTTTTTTAAATGGCTTATGCAATCATATAGTCACGTTTATATGTTTATTAGTCTCTTATAACTATTCTTTGGCTACATTTGATAAGAAAGAAAGAGAACTCAGTACAAGTATTTCTATATATAGTTTATTAATCGTAAACAATAAAAAATAGATCAACTATATCGTAATATCTTAGTAATAAAAAAATCGGTCTATCTTTCCTAACTATTGTTATCGACACAAATATATGTCAGTCTTTCTGACTAATTTTAAGAAATACTCTAAGATTATCTTTCTATTTTTACTACATAGTTTACATTAATAATCTACAAAATCTTACTTCTTATTTA